GTTTAATTTGGAACCAGCTATTTTTGGGGAGAATCTTGTTAGTTCTTATACAGGATATGCCTTATGCATTTTTCTGTTTGCATGTGAACAATGTGAATATTTAAAAGGTTGGGTTTGGTTTTTTCTGGAATAAATGCACTCATTTGTGAGAGGCCTTTTAGGGGTAACCAAGGGGGATGAGGAGAACAAATGAGAATTTTCCCTAAGTGATAGTTCTCCATTTTGTTTTGGCATTTGGCTTTTAATCACATATTGTAGCAGTGCAAGTTCAGGACACTTAAAAATGAAGCTAGATAACTTTTAAACAGATGATACAAAATATCTTAAGTATGGCTAAGTAGCAAAGTAACTGGGTTCCTACTAGTTAATGCATTAGTTTTGAAATGAAAAAGCTGTAGTATGGCATGTAGTACATCAAAATAACACACTCCTGTTGATATTCAGAGCTGGTCACTTGTAAAGAACAGGTTATAATTAATCTACTCTTCCTAACTGGATAACAGCTTTGAAGCTCACAGGCCCTTTATTTTATGGAAAACCAGTGTGGGTTTGTAGGGAAATGTGATTAGAGAATCATGAGAATGGGGGGAAAAAAGAACCAAAAAGTGATGAAGAGGGCATCATTTATTTTATCAAAGTTGTTTGTAGAATTTGAAATGTGTGTGAGACTTGATGTGCTCAGGCACAGGAATAACTGCTTTGAGTTAAGACCATTTTCTCCTTGATTAGTCCATTTAAGGATTTAAAACATTAATTTATTGCTACATTTTTTAACTGAAATCTGCGCTTTGTAACTGTGAAACCTGTGCCTTGCAACTGTATTTTTGCTTTTGTTTACTGCAGTCATTTAAAAACCAAAAAAAGCACCAAAACTTCTTCAGATTACTGGATCCCAACTTTCCTGTGCCAGAGGTTTTGCTTTCACTCTTTCTGCAAACAGGAGAAGCCAATCACAGGGGTTTGGGGGTTTCTGCATTGTTTGATCCCATAGGATATGGGTTTCCGGTGTCCCCCTTTCAGATCCATGTCTGGGATCCTTTCAAAGGCATAATTTTCTCCTTTAATTTTTTTTTGCTTGTTTGTCTCACAGTGTATTTTGCTGTTCTCCAGTAGAGAAAGCAGACATTTGTGTGAAAGGCAGAACTGCCTCACCTGGCTTCAGAGCTTGCAGTTCTCCCTTCCTCATTGAAGCAGGCATTGATGCTGTTGTAGAGAATATCTAAAAAGGGATGGAGATAACAAGTGTGAAAGAACTGGCCATGAATAACTGCTGGGGTAGGGAAATTCAAGCCTCTTATTTGTGGAACTGCTTGTAACATTGTCATAGGAAGAGCCTCAGTTGTTGCTGGAGTCTCGGTCCCACGTTTCCCGGATTAGCACAGTGAAAGTGCATATCCGAAGGATTTCAGTTATTTTTATTTCAGTCTGTATCTGTCTCCTCTCCCCCAGGTGGAGCTGTGAGGCAGTGGCCTTGATTTCCATTCCAATTAGAAATTCTAATGCTGTCCTTCCTTTCACCTACCAGGAAAGGGCCTTCTCTTTAGAAAGAAAAGGGCAGAAAATAACTGTGTGTTTGTGCTTCTGGACACATGTATTTTGAGAGGAAAAAAATTCTCTTCAAAATCAGATCAGTTCTTAAGATAGTCTACTGCCTGAAAGGGTCTCCTCCCAAGAGGCAAAACCCTAGGTTCATTTTCTGACCCATCTACAGCCCTGTTTTATGAGGAGGTCAGAGGTGTTCTGCACCAGACTCAAGTGAAACTGCTGCTTAATTAAGTGCTATCACACAGGATTCTCTTCCTGTGATGTTTGTTACCCTTTTACAAGCAAATTTGATGTAGTATCAAACCTTTCCTTCCTGCTCATAGGCCTGGTTCCCAAGGGGGTTTGCCATGAACCAAACAAGGATCTCCTCTGGACTAGGCTGAACACTGTGAGCTCACTCACAGGGATGCTTCTTACCTATCTCCCAAGTGATACCCAGGCACTGCTCAAAACAGCCACAAATCCATCTTAAGTGATAAAGCTTCTATTACCTGGCAGCATCTTGGTGTGGGCTCTGTGCCTTTAAATAGTTGCTCTGCTGTGCTCAATGACTTGGAAAATTGCTTATTCTGTAATTAAAAAGATCTCAGATGGGAAGTCCTGAGCCTCCATCCGCTGGTTCAGCTTCTCCCTGCCTGATGCAGGACTGTTCAATAAATAATCTTTACAGCTGCTGCAGTACTAACTTCTTACAGAAAGGAGGACAAAAGGGAAAGAACAAAGCAAGAATATTCAGGTATCAGACTGGATCAGATGGAGAAAGAGTCAAGTCTGAAGGCCAGTGTCAGGATTTGTCCCTGTGGCTCACATTTGCTGCTGCAGTTTTCCATAAATCTGTTACAGCCACACATCATCTTGGCACCCACAAGAGCATCTCAGTTGTTGCTCAGCAGCAGAACCAGTATGGCTGCAAAAGCACCATCTCTTTCTTCCACTTAGAAGTAAGAATTAAAATAGTGGCTCCTGAATGCACTGTGCTGGGGCAGAGGGTAAGGGAGGTCTCAGACTTGTTGGTGTCTAAGGCTGCACCTCTCCAGCTGGGACAGCATTTCCCCACCTTTACCTTGCAGCCAGAAAAACGTGGGTGAGGCAAGGAGAAGTGATCCTGTCCATGTGGAGAGCAGCAAGTCAAGCAGCAGCATTTTGGGCAGGTTGGCAAAGCTGTTCTAGTGGCATTTGTGGGGTACCAAGGATGGGGTAACACTGTGCCATCAGTGGGATTTGTGCTGGGAGTTGTGTTCATGTGTCCAAAGGTGCTGTAAAATAACAGGGTGAGGCAGCTGTGTTTGTCATATACTGTTTATTTTTCATGTGGAGCTTGGCTGATAAATAGGACTGAATTAAAGCAACACTTGTGAAAAATAAAACCCAACCATGACTCAGAAGTGCAAAACTGCCCTCCATGTGTCCAGAGATGATGAGGTTCTGGTTTGCTGGAGACAGCACATGAATGTACCTGCAGGGCAAAGGCTTTAGCTTATTGATATCCTAAATGCAAATGGACACCTGGTACAGTATATGGCTTTGTTGCTGGGTACCCACCTGTGACCCTGAGAAACAGCATCTGATAAGAACAGGTCACTGGTGAGTTTTTCTCCAGTTCCCATCCACAAATTGTGGTGCTGTCTCCACTCAAACCACTGAGCAAGGGCTGCTGAACATTAAGTGCTGTGAAACTAAAATGAACAAAAAACAAATGCTAAAAGCCAAGAACAACAAATCCCTGCCCACCTCCATTGCATTTGGACATGGCTCGTCACATCAACAGCACCAGTAGAGAGCAGACAGTTCCCATGGTGGAGGAGTGGTTTGTGATGGGAAGACTTAAGACTTGCAAAGGATCAGAAAAACAAGTGCATCCCAGGTATGAAATTACAGTAACAGGTTGCCTAAGGCTGAGAAAGGTCTTAATTGCATCGTCCCATTGGGCGCACAGCTGGCAGCAGCTGAAGTAGCTGTGGCTCTCCCTTTGCACTTTCCACCCTATTTCCTGCTCATCTCTTTTTGCAGCTCTGTGAAGAAGGAAATACCTTTATTCCAGATGATGAAGTGTGGCATGAGATGCTGTGTACTTGTACTTGTGGTCATCTGAGAAGAGTCTGGCAAAATGTTGCCAAACTAAAATCAGTTACCTCGTAGTGGGGGAGGGATGAAAGCTGTAGGAAACGAGCAGAGTGCAGGGCTAATTTCGTGCCAGGTACCAGGGTCTGTAATTTACCTGCCCAGAAAAGTATCTGGAAGGGATGGAGTGAAAGAAATCTTAGCTACCAACCTGGTCACACTCAGTGAGGTAAGGACAGCAGCCTGGGGGGGGCACTGCTGCCAGCAAGTACAACCACCCCGTGTGCTCGGGCATCCTCTTCCCTCAGTTGTTTTCCAAGAGCCACTTGAAGCCCTCCTCTCCCAGTGTTTCCTGTGCTGTCTGTGCAGGGAACCAGCAAGTGCTGACTGGTGGTGCCCACAGCGGCCGCCGTGTCCCGGTGGGTTTGCAGTTCCTGGTGGGTGTGCAGTTCCTGGTGGGTGTGCAGTTCCAGGCAGCCGTGGCACAGAGTGATTTTGCTGCTGTGACTCACTGCCCGAGGCTGTGCCCAGCAGGCTGCCCATAGGACAGGTGGGCGGTGGAAGCCTTGTCCTGCTGGCCAGACACCAAAGCTGATGCTGGGCTGGAGAGCCTCAAACGTGCCCATGTGCTGAGGCAGCTGTGCCAGGTGAGCCTGGGAGCCAAATGGCATCACTGGTGCCCAGCCCACCACAGCACTGTGGGCTGGGGGCATTCCTGTGGCTGCCCATGGGACTCAGAAATCCTGCCAGTCTCTGCAGCCACCGTAGCAGGTGCCAGCTGAGGGGCTGAACGTCAGGCAGGTCTGGCTTTGCCCAGCTGGAAGGACATCAGGGAAAGCTTCACCCATGTGCTCTCCCTGTGTTTCTGCTTGGGGCTGGATGGGTGTCATGGATGGAGCAAGAAAATCCTCGTGCCTAATCCCATTTAAAAGGCTTCATTTTTTCCAACCTTTTCTCCATGTTAAGGTAGAGGAATGGCCTTGGGATCCTCTGCAAGGGCAGTGTGTCAGTGAACACACCTTGGTGAGAGTTTGATGAGAAGTTTGTTGAACTGGCTGAGTACAGTGTGCCAACAGCAGCATTTTCTGCTTGTCGTTTGCTGATACATAGCTGGGAGCAGCAGGGTTTCCTAGGAGGCCACATCCCAAGGCCTTGGGATCCCATGTGGGTTTTTTAGAATTCACCAGTCAAAACCACAACCATCTTCAAACTATCTATTTCCCACACCACCACATTCCAGATAGGGCTGTCTTTTCATTTACTTTCTTTCCTTCGAAGTGCAAAGCCAGGGGGCAAACCAGAAGTGATCAGGCAGCTGTTCAGGCACTAAGAATGTGGAGAGCAATCTGATAAAGCAAAAAGCCTGACACTTTACACACACCCCATACAGAGGCTCAGTCAACAAGCAGCACTGAATATATTAAATGGATTTCCATCAGCTCGCCTGGAGACCTCTCCATTTCAGTGGTATGGTTTGGGCTCTGGGGCGGATGTTATTCGAGAAGAAAAAAAAGTAAAACTTTATTCCCTGTTTCTCAATGTATTTGCTGCAGCAAAGCCATTCTTTCATGTGCCAGAAGAGCTCAAGGTCAGCAGGGTCTGGTACAACTGCATCTTCTCCATCCATAGGCTGCAGCCCACACGTGCCTGTGTGCTGGGCCGGGATCAGGAGCTAGCAGGGCTCCTCTGCCAGCCCCCCTCGGTGCAGAGCTCCCGCCGGCCTGGCCTGGAGCAGCGGCTGTAAAGCAGCACAAGAGGGACAGGACCTGGCACACAGGTGTATTTTTGTCATTCCCTGGTGCTGTGTCTGGCAGGCGCTGCTGGCTGGGCCTCCAGCACCGCCAGGGAGTGGGGATGGGATAAGCTCTTCCTGAGATCTCCCTTGCTGTGCTCCAGTTAGTTTTCAACATCTCCCAGAGCACGATCCCTGCTGTCAGAGATACCCCTGGTGTTCCTCACGCTTCTCCCCATCCAGTGGCTGAGTCCATAGCTTGTTCTTCTGTCTCATGGTTAAAAAAATATATCTTTATTTTTCATCCTCATCTCCCTCGCTCATGCTGCTGAGGGAGGCAGAGGCAGCTTTTGGAGAAGAGGGAGGGGAGGCCTTATTGATGACCCAAGGTGGAGATGGAGAGCGGGATGGAGAGCGGCCTCGTGTGGGACTGCTGTTTGGGCTCTGCCGGGGAGAAAAAGCCTGGAGCATTCGGCCACTTCGTTCCTGGAACATCTGCTTCTGCAAAAGCAAAGTGAAAAGATGCTCTTTGAGTATTGCACAGGGGGGAAGGGATGGCTGTGAGCAGGCAGGGGCTGCACTGTGCCTCTCACCTGGGAGAGAGCAGGGAGCCAAAGCCCTGGAGCACAGCTGGTTTGCCTCTTCTCCTGTGCTCATAATAACCTGGCTTTTATGTGCAAGTTTTCACCTCAGCTGAGACACCCCCAGTGTGAGAACACTGTGTGTACTGTCCCAAGCCAGCTCGGGGGACTCCCTTTGTCTTTTTTGTTTGCGTTGATCACACTCTTAAAAAGTCAGTTTTCTGCCTGAACACCCAACATTCCTAGTTCCCACGACCTTTTTTGCTTCTAGCATGCTGATACAGACCACCCTTCTCCTGAGCTTCCTGGCTCTTCCAGCCTTTATTCCTCTTTCCCTTCTTGAGACAGCCTTGTGCCTGCCAAATACTGGCAGCTGCTTCCCTAGATACCTGGAGCAGGCACCACTCAAACCCATAAACTGGGGGTGGGAATGTCAGAATTTGGGTGTCTGTGTGAAAAGAGAAACACGTGCAGGCTCTATGTTCTGCTTGGAGCTTTATTGTCATTTTTGCTTTGCAAAGCTGAGTGGAGGCCTGCCAGAGCTGGTAGGTGGAAGAGACCACCTCTGCAGTCAAGCAATCTGCTACACTAAGGCAAGTACCTCTACTTACTACAGCAGCTACAGGGCCTTGCATCAGCCTGCTGGGCTGGGCTACAGAAGATGTGGCATGTGCTGTGCAGCTGCTGCAGGAGTCAGGTGAAAAATGCCAAATCTCAGTGCCTTGCTGCTCCTTCTGGGGATGGGGAGCAAGAAGTCTCAATCTTGGCTGGAGCACTGGCAGTCAGGTCACAGGTGATGCTCGGCTGGAAAGGAAAGATCCAGCCCAGACAAAGTTAAGTTGCCATTCAGATCTGAGAGGAAAATACTTGTGCAGAATGTATGCTGGATTTGCCTGTTTGGGCAGCTGCAGACTTGATCTTAGCTAAGTTTTCATCTTGTTCCTCTCCTCCCCTTCTCCCTGCAGTGACTCTGCTGTGTGCTGACCTTACTACCAGCCAAGGAGCCTGTAGCTGCCCATTTTGTTCTTCCTTCCCCTCTTTGAAACTTCCCTGCCAGCAGAGAGGCCAATGCTGATTTTCCCCTCAGGTTCCTGGTGTTTGCTAATCCCAAGTGTTAAAAATCGAGCACAAATACTGAACTTAACTGTTCCCCTGTGAACTCCCTCTCCTAATTAACATCTTTAGCACATTGGCCTTTATTGACTTAGTTTTAGAGCCTGGATGTTGCTGCAGTGTGGAATGGCAGAACAGTTCCTGCCTGGAGCCACACTTACCAACACCCCACGGTGTGTAACCTACCCCTGCACAACTGCTAGGTCTAAAATAGCCAAGACTTCCTAAAATCTCAACAGTAAGCAGATGGTGGTTGCTCCTGATAAATGGTGCCAGGAATGGGGGAGGATTTCTGTGGCTGAGAGCTGTGAGGATGTCACCAGGGCTGGCAAAGCCCCAAAGCCTGTTTGCAATTCAGTGGTAGGGGTGCAAAACTTCTCTTTAGATCACAGAAATCTGCAGTTCTGTTGGCTTGACTTAATCTGTTTCACCCTCTCAGTGAAAATGACTCCCAACAAACAAACAAAAAAATGTTTGATGTGAAGTATCTTTACCCTGGCCAACCAAAACACTTTGACTTGCTCCTGCCACTTCAGAAAGCTCAGAGGTATAGTGGTGCTTCATAGTGGTGTGGTACCAGTGCTGGGGGAGATCCAAGTGTCCCAGCTTGGCTGGTATCCCATGTGGCAGGGGATATGTGGCTGTACCTTGGGTCATCTGGGCCAGAGATGGAAAGGGGAATCCCACCTTCCTACTAGGGCCCTCAGCCAGGATGTAAGGACACCTGCTTCCCAGTCCCTGCTTCAGCAAAGGGTTTATGGCTTGAACAAGCTGGTGTATTCACACCTTCAGCAGGGTAACTGCCTGGCCCCTCCGAATTGCCTCCTGCACTAGTGCTGGATCCACCAGGTTTCTGGCTAAAACCACAACTGCTGCAGGAGGAGGAGGTGGTGTAATTCACTTGCCTCCAGAATGCATCTTTCCTTCCAGCTGTGCCCTAGCAGGGTCAGTAAGTCATACCCTTTGCAGGCAAGGTGCTCCTTGGGCTGTTGGGTGCTGAAGAAGCAGAACAAGTGTTAATGGCTTCCTGAGTGCTGGAGGGTTAGACAAGGCTGGATGTGCTCTGGACCTTTACCAGAGGTGGGAAAATAATTTCAAAGTCTTAATTCAAGCAAGTTCAGGTACAGCCAATCAGTTCAGGGTTTCTTTTTGGCAAACTTGCTTCTGTGAAAAAATATTTTGCCCATTTCTGAATCTCATTGTCTATATGTTGATACTCCTTTTCTTTACAAAGCAAGTGTCAGCTAAGTGTTACTTCTGCTTTTGAGCTGCTGATTATTCCGAGGCCATGTTTGGGTCCAGGCTGCAGACACATGGTGTGGCCTAGACACTGTCCCTGGGTTCATGTTGCAACCTGTCAGTCTCATCTGAGCCCCTGCTGATGTCTGAGGTGCTGCAGCCGTTTCAAGTGCAACCATCCCCAACTGCCTCTGTGCACTGCAGCTGACCCCTTGAAGGGACATCTCATCTGGAGGGACACTTCTGAGGGAGACTGGCACAGAACCCTGCCCTGTGAGCTTTGCTTTCTCTCTGCTGACCTCAATTGTAGGTGCCCGTTTGTGCCCATCCGGGAGGAGGTGGAATGGACCCTGCTGCTTTCCACTTCCACGGAGTGGTGTCTCTGCCACTGGGCCCTCTGTGCCAGGCTGTGTGGTGGTCCCTTCTCACACTACACTTAGGTTTCATGCCACATTATCATCACTTCTGACTCCTCTGTGACTCTTGCAGAAAATGTACATACAGGGGATTGCACAGGTGGGCAAAATTGCCACTGAATTATAGACATCTTGACATTTGAAAACTGACATTTTGACCTTTTTCACAAATGGGCATTTTTTTGTGGGTTACGTGGCCCTTACTTTTAGGAAATTGATGCTAGCATAAAGCATATTATAATAATTATTTGTGAAATAATAATAGCATATTAATGGCATGCAAATTACTGATCTAGGGATCCAGCATGCCCGTAATGATTCCTGTACTTTTAATGTCAACATTAAAAGCAACATCTAACTAACAGTGATAAGGCAAATTAACGTTAATAACAGTTTTGACACTAATAGTAAGTTATCATTATTTTAAAAGTCTTTCCCGTTGCCAAGGCTAAAACTGATTTAAAAAAAGCCACACCACCTCTCAGCTTGCTGTCACTGATGCTTTTCCTGCAACACTGTGAGAAGATTTCACTCCTCTTGTTCTTAACAAAGGTCTCTATGATTGCACCAGATGTCCTACTCTGTGGTCAAACACTAACTCAGGAGATATCTTAAAAGACCTTTGCAGACCAGCTTTTAGCTAATTGGATTTGGTAAAATGTTTTATCAGCAAAGGTTTTCTAAAATGCCATTAGTGTGCAGTGTTGAGTGGGTAGAGCCAGGGAATGGATTCAAGGATTTTAAATTCTTTCCTCTCTGCACAGCCAAACTCATCTCACCTCCTGTGGATTTTACATGCTCTGTTAGCATTAGTTTTATTTATTCAGCACCTATGGCCACAGGACCATCCCACAGGGGGAACACACATCAAGCTCTATGGGCAGTAACTTACAGGGGAAGCTTCAAGTGGATGTGGACGATGCTGGTAAACCAGGGCATTTCATCAGAAGAGTTCCCTTCTTGCCCTCCCCAGGGAATATGACACTGTGAATGAACAGACTGCTACATAAGCTATGTATTTATGTGGCTGAGGTCTGTGTTCTTCAGTGACCACCTGCCTTTGCATGGGACAGAAGTAACTGTAAGATTATATACAGTCTCTGTTCAGTTTTAGGGTTTTCTCAACTGAGTGGCAATCAACACAGCAAGTCATGGCAGTGCAAAGATAAGAACCCCAGTAAGAGGCAGGTACTGTATGCTTTGGTGGCACTGAGCTGTGACACAACAGTGAGGTGGGCTACCTAATTCACAGGTCATCTGTGATGCTTTCTAAGGGTTTGTTTACAAACAAAAACTCTGCTGAGATCCTTTCAACAGAAAACAAACTCTTTTTCACTCAGAGTTTGCAACCAGAGCAGCACATCTGAGATGGTGCCTGCACTGGAGGGTCTGGCTGGGCCTGGGCTTTCACCCAACACAGCTGTGCAGACAGCTCATTGGAAAGGGACTGACTCTCAGCAGGAAGGTCTAAGAAGGTTTAAACAACTGATAAATTCTACATTCAAACTGAGCTCTGTTACCAGTTGCAATTCTGTAACTGTAATTCCCTTGCAAAGGGAATTACAAAAGGAAATTGCAAAGGGAAGTTGCAAAGGGAAGTCCTACAACAAAACAAAGCTTCTTGAGGTTTGGCAAGCTATCAGACTGAAAAATGGGGCCCAGAAATCTTTTGGGGCTCTGAAGTGTCACCAACTCACCACTCAGTGTGTGACTTTGGTTGGAGCAGGTGAAAGATGCTGTTGCACGCTCTGAATTGCCTTTCCAAGGCACTTGGGGATCTTTAGGAAACAGGCTTTGTGAAGCCAGCACGTACCAAGGAGAGCTTTGCAAGTGCTTTAGTTCCACCTGAGCCTTCCCTGCTGGCAGTTAGATAAGCCTGGACACTTGACATGTAAAATCATTTCTTAGAACTTTCTATTAGTAGTGTTTGAAGTTACAAAATTGTCATCTTCTACTGCTGGGTACTGAGCATGAAGAGAACTACTGGAAATCTTTTCAATGGTCCTGTTTCCCTCACTACCACCAGTGGGTATCTCTGATGTCGGTGTGGTTGCATTTAGTGCTAACAGGGCCAACAGACTGCATTAGCCTGTTTGCTCATGTGTTGCTGTTATGTAGCTCTACTGAATGCAGTATCCTGTTCAGCACCACACCTTCACAAAACACAGATATTATCCCAAAGAAGCAACAGCCAGAAGTAGCAAATTGTTCTGCTGCAGTATTGGTATACATTAATGGCTTCAGCAACCAGGTCTGGCATTAGCCTACTAATGGATTTTGAAACAAAGACTGCAGCAAAAGTATCTGCTCTTGATCTGTGCTACAGAGGAGAAATAAAAACCACTCAGACTTCCTGGGATGGCAGAATACCTACCCAAGCTCCATCAGGTCCAAACAGCTCTAAAAAGTTGCCAATAAACTCCCTGGACTTTTCTTCCCATTTCTGAATGAGGTCATGGCTCTTCTCTTCCACCTTGTAAACAAATTCTTTTGACTTTTCCTCTACATTCTTGACTTTTTCTTTCATTTTGTCCACGTGGTTTTGAAAGCGGTATTTCTTCTCCTGTTAGAAGTGTGGTAAGAGTTTAATAAAAACTTTGGAAATAATTAGCCACTGACAGTTGAGAAGAAGACAAAAAATTGCATTAATGTATCACAATACATATGGCCTTGGTTAACTATTCCCATTAACCATTCCCATTAACCATATATTATTATATATGCCCCCTATATTATTATAAATGCAAATCTAACATCTGTGAAACAAAGTGCACAAGGTACATATTGAAAAGACTTCTTTTGCGACTACTGTGTTTAATCTACTACATGAATCTTCCTGTATTTCCAAACTGAATACACTTTGAAAATTCTAGGAATCTTGTGAAGGATACATGTCAGAAACTAACAGCTCAAGCTTAGCAGTGGGCAAAAGGCAAATCTCCCTGGGGTTCCTAGCAAACACTGCTGACTTGCCAGCCTGGATGTTAACTTGGACCAAAATGTCTCTTTGGTTGGATTTGTGCAAGCACAAGGAAAACTCTCTTCACCTCCACACCTGGCTAATACAGAAGCTTCTGGCTATAACACAGATGTGTGCAGGCCAGTGGATTGTGGCCAGCAAACTCCATAGAGGAGAGAGCAAACTCCTAAGTCACACAGAAGAAGAGAGGGACAGTGAAACAAATATTTATGCCCTGTGATCTGTGATTTATCTGCCAGACTACAAAATAAGAAACAGGTAAACAAAACTCTCATGAAATGACACAATTCAGTCTTTCACAAGGGGGTTTCCCAGCTCCAGGGAAGGAGGTGGGAAGTCCTGCTGTGAGCCAGCTCAGTTACAAGGGAGATTTCAGTTATGAGGGTTATCTTGAGGCCTGAAATTAAAACTTGAAACAGAAAATGAAAGACAGTGAACTCTCGTTTCTCATTGGAGGGTAAGGTCTGTATGTGGAAGATGAATAATGTGAGCCATCCTTTCAAATGTCACTCTTCCCCTACTTATTGTGGCTTCTGAGCTATTCAGCATCGTTTATGTACCAGCTTCCTAACATACTTCCTTGTCTTTTGAAAACTATTTTTGCTTTCCCTAGTAATCTCACTGCTTGGTGGCTGGTTTTGTTAGGGTTTTTTTGGTTTGGGTTGGGTTTTTTATCCTATTGCATTGTAGAGAAAGTTTGGATTTCAAAATCTGTTCTGCCTTCTTGGAATAAAAAAAGAAATCTGGTGTTGGGTGTGTGGCTGAGCAGCCTGTGGTGGGGAGGTGGGCTCCCTTCTCGTGTGTCATTGTCACCTACAGCTCTAGGAGGAAGGAGGAGCAGGAGCTTTGTTAAAAGTGTGAAAGTGTAAGATGGAAATGAAGCTGCTAATTAATAGGAGCAATTAAAACTACCCTCAACTTAACAGTTTCTTTTAAATTCTTTTAAATTGAGTTCTTTCCAGCCATTTTAAAAGCAGCAGGAGGAAGACATCCTTTGTTAACCCTTCCTGTACATTCAGGGTCCTAGGAGAGAGTTTTTCAGAGGGAAATGCAGATCAGTACTTACACTTATGAAGCTGACATTCAGCTCTTTGGCGGTGTATCCCCGTTGGAGGTTGCGCCGGGCGTACACGTCGTAGTCCCGGACAATCCTTGTGATGATGTCTGATGTGGAGATACCTTCGGTTCTCTGTGTTGGCACAAACATTCCTGAGCAAAGTGGGAAAAGAAAGCCTGCTCAGAAAGCACAGCAGGACCAGGCACTGGGGCAGGTAGATGAGGAGGAACACAAAAATGCCTGACCAAAGCTAAGAGGCTTCAATTCTGCCATATTCCTAGTTCTTTCCTGTTCCTCTGTGAGCCTGGGGAAGGCAAGGTTGCTATACCATTCTTTTTCCTCAGGTCTTCAGAAAGACTGAAGTTTGCCCTCTGCACAGTGTCGGCTGTGATGTGGAACTTATTAGATCAGTAGGGACTCCTGAGCCAGGAAGGCCAAACTTCAAAGCTGTGGCAATTCACTGAGCAGTTCTTTTCACGAGCATAGCACTTATTTAATGTTATATACAGGAGCAGGGTGGTTTGCTGCTCTCCTGCGTATTTCCACTCTCCCCTCCTGTGCTGCACTATCTGACAGTCTTTGTTCTGCTGAGTAAAACAGACCAGCCTCTGGCCTTGACCAAAGCCAGGAAGCCCCTTCAGGTAAAAGGTGCATTACAATCACTGGAAAACACCCTGGAGTTGCCAGGGGTCTGTAAGAGGGCAGGGAAGTGTAAAGGTAGTGTGAAAAAATGGGGTTATACTGTGGGGACTGTTTCATGACCACCCAGCCATATCAGTAGCTGCATAACCACCCTCCCTGCCCTGACGAATCAGTCCCTAAGAGAATGGGCCATTTATCAATACTGCTTGTATTTTCCTCAACATGGATAACTATTGCTTTTTATTTGCTCCTCACCGAGATAGGATTACCTGAACTGTTAGTGCAAGTCACAAATGCAATAACAGCAGAGTGCTGGCACACCTTGGCTTAGTAGTTATTTACGGCTACAAAAAATTACTACTATCACTTATATGTAATTGCATCATCAAGCTGCTGATGAGAGAGACAGAGCTGTGAGAGAAGACTGGAAATGGTTTTGAAAAAAGAAAAGTAATGCTTTGTCTGAAACATTGCTAAAGCTACTGGCAAATTAATCCACACACGTTCACTTCAAGTAGGCAGGCATTGCTAGCTAATTTTACAGGGTTGGGAAAAGCCTCAGAGAAGGAATCAAGAAGCTTAGCAGCCTCTTGTGACTAAATGTTATGTGATATTTTTTCTTTCTGATCTCTAATTAATACTCTGCTAAAAAATAGATTACTTTAATCATGAGCAGAGATGTTTCTCTGATCGTGCTTTTCAGGCTTGCAGCAGTCACTCAGGAAACTATTTTTAGAAGCAGTGAAACCCATTTTGAGCCAGAAACCTTTATAGATAGGAGCTACAAGAATACATGAACAAAATCCAAACCTTACCTTTGTTAATCCAAAAGTGGAACTCTATGCAAACATTACCTTTAGTCACTGACTTGGCTTTCATATGCTTCATGTGTTGGACTGATTCATATTTTCCAAACTAATTGTTCACAGATGTGCAGAGGTTTAGTCATTGCAGAGTTACCCAGCTCACTGTTGCCTATATGCTCTCCCACCTACTGAAGGGAGTGGGGAAATAGGAGCTCATGAGAATCTACACAAGGAACTCCACAGTTCCCATCCACTTTTGCACTCTCCGAGAACCTTATGTGGGAAAATGGGAGCACTGGAACTAGGGAAAATGCACAAATGCATCCACAGCACTGGTCTATTTAAAACAAAACCCCTAAGAGAAAGGGGAAATTCATTATTGTAATAAAGCTGTTCTGGAGCATTAGGACTATTACAGCACTAGATCTCAAAACTCTTCATAAATAAGGTAATGCTATTGGCAGTTTATATGTAACAAAATCCATCCACACAAGACTCAAGATGCTTCTCTGGCATCTCGCCATGACAGACAAACAACAGACCCCAAGTCCCTGAAGCTGCAAGTTCATACTCTATTCTGCAAAGTTTGAATTTCTTATCAGGACATGTGCACTGCACCCATGTCCAATGACAGCAGAGAAGGGTGTGCCAGGTTTGGGCACTCTCACGCTCAGTCAGATGCAGTGACACCAAGGGCTTCTGTCATGTTGTCCTGTGTACTCAGCACCTCACAGAAGAAAAGCAAAATAGCTGCCTGTCCAGCACATGTGCTGGATGTCCCTTGGTCACCCGTCCTTACCAGAGGTGCCTTTTTTGCACTGCCTAGTGAAGTAAACTGGCATTGGCTCTGAAACTATAGAACAGTAGTTCCCAAAGGAGGGTTGTGAGTCTGACACCACAGGGAAGTTCACAAGTGGAAAAAGAGCAGGAACTGCTGCTATAAAAAGCTTTTTCCTTCAGCTCAGGTCAATACCTGGTCTGCCACTGTCATTGTATAGCTTGGGAAGGTGACTTTGCACAACAAATTACCACCAGGCAGATTGCTCTGGAATTTTTTTAAGTTTCCAATATACATGTTTATGTAGACCAGATAGAGGTTGAATTCACCAGGGTTCAAAGCAGCATCTCCAGGGAGCAGGAGAAGAAAGTCATCATCTGTTCCTCCTCCCCCACTGTTCACTGTGTTAGGATACATACTGCTGGCAAACAGCGGCTTAACGTTATCTCCTCAGATTTAATTCAGCTTCCTTGAACTGCAGAGATACAAACTCCTAATGACTTCAGCATATTCATGTTCAGTGCAATATGGTAGTCAACCAAACTGCTAAATATGCATGGCAAATGAATTACTCTGGTACAGATTTAAACCCTCTGCCAGTGTAATGAAAAGAACCCTCAGTGCAAATCAGAAGTGGATCCTAACGACTCCTGAAGGGTGCCTGTGCTTGCCCATATTTAGGACTGGGATGTGTCAAGGAGTCATCAGTTTGCAGTTATCAACAAATGACTGAAGTTGGCTGGGCTGCTGTGGGAACTAAACTCATTTTCCTCCATTCAAAACTCTTAGTCAAGCACCATAAAATTGTTTTAAAAACCCAGATGGGACTCTTTCATGCCAGATCTGAATGGTTTCCTTGGGGTTATGGCAGGAATTCAGTCAAGGACATCCTTTGTGGTTTTACAAAGTGCATCTTTCTGCTTAAGTCAGGAGTACCTACTGTTAGGGTGTAAGAGAATGTGATATTATCTCTACTGCTTCTCTCCCAGCAGTTGTGGTTAAAAGGCTGTAAAAGTTGCCCTTACCTGCCTCCTTTATGTGTTTGTATACATCATCCGAGCCAGCGGAAGAGTACGGGATGTCATCGTGGGCTACGAAGTCAATCTGCCAGCAAACAGAAGAAGAATCACATCCCACCATCACTGAATTTGGTTCACTGGGAGGTTGTTGTGGAGGATCATCTCATTCCTTGACTTCAGCTAACTTGCTTTTGACATTCTCATCCTAAAGCCATCACCTAGAATACTGCACTAGGTTTAGGCCTGCAACTGCTGTGTTGTATGATCAATTATGAAAGAACAGAGAGCTCGTCTCCAGAGGCACTGCCATTACCACATCACTGACTGGCTCAGTGTGATGTGCTGTAGAAAACCTAAAATTCATGTGCCTGCTTTTATTGCTACTGGAAAAGCTGAGGCAAGTGGCGAAGCCTTGGCCTTCAAAACCATGGAGGCAGGATTATTGATTCTGGCTCCTGAGCACATATACATGTATACTTAATACTGTCATACTGTCACTTTGACACTGAGTGATGTGGACACTAAAACGCACCCTAGTTAATTATGCTTTTGTTAAGATTCATTTATGTTGCAAGGCAATCAATAGCATGTAAAACACTCTATCCTGCCTTTTAGAGGACACAGGGTATTTTTACATATTGCACTCTTGCCATTAATAAGAAACATGCCTTTAATTCAGGACTTCAGTCACTACATGACAAACTTTCCTGGTTCATGACCTCCTTTTCTGAAAGTCCATTTGTGAATAACTCTTCAGTGTTACTTTGCCCTTAAAAATCCCAATACAAATATCATCACAGTACATTGAGAAAAAAAAGTCAAGACAAATATTTTCTGACAGAGATGGAGGCAAGCAATGGTATGTATTTAATTTCAGTGACTGGAATTAACTGAATTAAACTACTAGAATTTCACATGTTTACTCTTAACTGTCAGTCTACGAAGGGGAAGGAGAAATAAAGGGAGAAATGTACCTTATGTTTTTCAAGGAACTCGGGTGTCAGTGTCCAGGGTGCATCTCTGATGACCTCATCCACGTAACGACAGTGTCTGAGGGCTTCATATCGCTCCGTTTCATTCATCACAGTGAAGCCTTTGAATTTATGAGTTAAATCATCACTGCAAACTAAAATATGGAAATATCAGCAAAATGGGTCCACACTCAGCAAAATTAGCATGACCAGCAGTTGATTATTCCTATATAATTCCATTAAGCACTTAATTATTAACTTAGCAATTTTTGGTGTGCTCCAGGGCATCTAAGAGTTCTGCTCAGTGTTGGCAGGTACAGCCACATACTTCTGAAAGATCCTTCTCTTTCTGGAGCTGCAGCCAGAGGCCAAAGGAGATATTGTAGGACATCTCAGGTGGTACCATATACACATTAAGGTAAATCAATCCCATGGTAAGTGGGGATTTCATGGGCTGTGAAATTTCAGGAATGATAGCCAATGCTTTAAAACCAATGAAAAAGTGCAGTGTGGGCAATCACAGAGTTCTCACTAACTCCCTGTATCACAAAATGGCTGAGGTGGGAAGGCACCACTGGACATCACCTAATCCAAACCCCCTCCTTCCAGCAGAGCCAACTACAGCAGGTTACTCAGCCATATCCAGTAGTATCTGAAGATGGAGACCTCTCAGCCTCTCTGGGCCTCCTCTTCCCACTTTTCATTCTCACGTAAACAACGCTCTAAATGACAAATTTGCCAACAAAGCTCAAAATCACAGTGCAACAGTTTCTCTACTAAATAAACACAGACGGAAAACAAGTTATGGCAAATTTTATAGGAATTTGTCTCCAAGTTTAGCTTTGAGTTCAGCAGGTTTCACAGAAAGATAAGTAAAGCTTGTGCCATGCTTACATGGGAAATCGCAGAAGGATGCCCCAAGGAAAGGACTGGGAGAAGCCATATGCTCTAGTGAAATGAGCAGAGTTAAAGGTCCAAAAATCCTGCATCTTCAACTCTGGATGTACCAATACTTTTGTCACATTGCTTTTATAATGAGAGGAAGTAACACTCATGTTACCAGAGGACTGTAAAAGTTAGGTTTTATCTTTCTACCCACATAATATGGTGTGAAACACAGTGACCTTCTCCACAACCGTAAGTCTGTCCAATATTACAGCTACAACAGTCATTTGACACCCCTCATGGAATAATGTGATACCCATTTATAGCTGAGTTGCCAGTGGTTGTCCTTCACCACAGGTCAAACCTGTGCCTTTAGATCTCACTTGTAATGAGAGTCTGTAAATGTACTTGACAAATGACAAATGCAACATTATTAGTGCTGCAGGGAAGTGTGAGAGCAGCCCTACAGCTGCTGCTTCTTTCTAATTTGAAAACATCAACCTATGAGGCAAAGCACTGGCAAAGATGCAGCCTTTTTGAGATCTAAAATGGATGTTCTTGCTGTGATGGCCATTAAGGGCCTTTAAAGTAGGAAAAATGTAGGAAGGCTCAGGTAGCCCTGGAGCCTGTGCAAAATTCAAAGCCAGCTAACAACATACGTATGAATTTCAGCTACTGAAATGCCACTCTATCCTATTATGTCATTTCTGATGCCTGCTGACAAGAAATTTAATGGAGATCAAAGCATTCTCAGTAGAAAGATCCCTTCTGAGACTGTATTTGTATTTATTTACAGCCTTTATGCCATCTTTAAGCTACCCTCTCCTGGAAGAAAAGGTCTACTAAAATTATTGGAAAATAGTAATTTTTTTCTTGAATTCTGTAGAAAGGTTTGATTTTATTTTTTGATCACTGTTCATGTGCAGTGCAGACACAGCATCTTCGTACTTCCTTTTGATTCTGTCATCCTGCTCTAATGACTGATTTCGGGAGGTATAAACATCTATTCATAAAAAAGTGATCTTAGGTCCAAATAATTATCTTCAGAACAAGAAATAGAAGGGGTTGGTTGTGGTGCCCACAAAGACACAGGACACCGGTGCTCTTGCAGCACAAATTGCATGTGGGTGTGCTACACAGAGTGCCTTGCAAGGAGAAGGTGCTGATGAGTGCTGGCTGCTTTGTCCTTCATTCCAAAAATAAGGGCAAAGTGAAGCTATTCCATGAATTTCAAAGGAGCCAGGCTTTTGCCCCAGTGCTCCTTCCCTTATCTGGGACACTCCCCAATCCTTTCAAAGCAACAACGAATGTTCATAACTTGTATTTTTATTAAACCTGACAGTCTTGCACCTCCACTTCCTTCTTCTGCAAGTTGTTTGGCTCAGCAAGAAAACAAGAGAGTTCTTAATGTTTTGTTCATAACAAGGGGATGTCTCCTTTACCTCCCAGGAAGCTCCATGGGAATTGCCACAAATCATAAAACTGAGTAAAACCAAAAAGTATGTTTATAAGGCGATCTTGTTTTGCTCTGTGTTGGGTCTTTCCCCTCCTCCCTTTCAACTCATTTGGGAAAAATATGCAAAATAATGCATCTTACAGTGCCTGAAGGTTTAATTCATGTTTGCTCTAAGCACTGGAGCAGCTGAATGAAGGTTGCTGTGAAATGTTTCTACAAGGCATCTCAATCCAAAAGGTGCAGGGAAACTGGAACCAAACCACACATTTTATGAGGTCTCATGAGAGTGGGGCCTGCACAGCCAACTGGGCAGGAAAGAGTCACTCTCCAGCAACTCTTCGAGCACAAGCCAACTGCTGAACAGCTGTAAGGAGATGCACAGTGAGAAAACAAGATATTTATAGGGGGAAAAAAAAGGTAAGAAAGTAACCTGCCCAGGGACACTTGTGAGCTGAAAACTACATTCAACTCATGACCTATGTTTGGGTCTTCAATGACAATGGGCCAGACTCAGCTTCTCTGATGAAGTTGAAGGCTAAGTCTGGACCTGGCAGGCAGGGGTCATGGGCTGTGCCTGGTTGGTGAAGGGACTAAGGAGCCAGAAATAAATGAGCAGTTGTTCTCATTCACTCATCTCCAAATTTGAACAATTTTGAGCAAATAACTGAAAAAGGTAAATTATTCATATAGAGCTATTTTAAGCTCAGAGTCATGCAGGCACCTGCTTTAACTAGAATGGGAATTGTGCCTGTGCTGCTGAGGGCAGAATTTGACTTTTACTTTAATTGATGCAATTGTAAGATGTAATTCAAGGCAAATCACCTACAGAAAGCCCTCAGAGGGAAAGCAGCATTCAAGTCAGAGCGTATAAACGGCTGGGGGTGCGTGCTCAGCAATAACTCCCTGATACTGAAGCACAGAAGCAAAAATCCAGTGCAATAAATAACTCTAATCTTACCTCCTACTAATAAGTAGCTATTTGGGAATAGAGTTTTGGCTTGCATAAGAGCTCTAGCATGGCCAGCGTGGAAGAGGTCAAAAATCCCATCTGCATATACTCTGACAGGTCTGTCAACTGTGGAGAGAGAAAAACAACAGTGATTTTTTCAGACCCCAAACGAGTTGCACTTAATTCTACTGGATAGGTTTTTGTTCCCAGATCAGATGATTGTGGATATTTACCCCAGCTCTGATGTTCAAAAGCAACATGGGTGAACTTGCAGTGTTTCATACTGCACATTACTCTTTCTTTGCACTCTCTGCTGTTTTCTCTCAGACTAAGCCTATTTATTATCATCCATCATCCCCTATTCTAATTTAGCAAAAATGTCATCTTTCTGCCTCATTTGGAGTTCCACCATATGTCTTCTTCTTTTCTCTCTGCTTTTCTAATCAGTTTTGCCTTATGGATTTTTCCCCATCATCTCCCTTTTCGTCCCCTCTTCCCTGTGGCTTGCTTTTTTCCACAGCTTACTGCTGTAAAAATGTATTGCTTACCTCTTCTACGTAAACCTTTCACTTCCCTTTTTTCCCCTTTATGTGAAATCATCCCACTTCCTCAGCCCAATCACACATGTCCAGATAAAGAAATTGGCATGGTTTCTTGCAAAGGGCAAAGGACCTTTAAGGCCTCCTGTTGATGTAATCAACAGGAACATCAGTGAAAGAAGAGTTTTCCAGCACACAGAGGCAGTATGAGAAGAGAATCCAGAAGGTAGCCACTACATAATACAATTTTCAGGCTGGCTGGAGTGGGCTAGCAAGACTTCTTTCCAACAAACATGCATTCACAAAAACATCAAACTCTAACTTGAAACGTTTTGTCTAACAGGAGATAACAGTCCTGTAGTTGTTGGTATCTTCTCCATTACCTGCTAGCACCAGATATCAGGCTGGCCCTTTTGCTTTTGAGTGGAAGGCACAAGGGAGCATTAATTATGTTGTAAGGAAGAACCTGTGCTTTGGGAGTGCCCAGAGTCCTGCGGAAGCAGCTCTCTCCACATACCTGGAGTTCCCAGGCGGGCTTGTGCAATGGTTAGTTTCTCATGGGGAGCTTGGCACTGACAGCTTGTTTCATCAGCAAACGGAGCAGGTGCCGTCAGGGTCTGGAAGGAAGAAAACAACATAAAGAAAGTAGATGTATTATTTCCACCAAGCAGTTACAAAAGAACTGTGGCAGGATGCTGCAACCAGGCTTAATGCTGGTTTGGTCTCTGGAGATTTTTGCTTTTTGGTTATCCCTGAGCACACACAGTTCACACAAGGTAAAATGATGAGGAAAATAAAGCTTTCCAAATACACCATGCAACTTAATTCTTTGTCTCTGTTAGAGGAGCTCACGCATTTTTGAGGTGGGTGAAGGTACACAATTTTTCTGTTTGCAGAACAAGTCAGGTTTGATGGCCTGAGCAGCTTAACCCTTGACTTCGTCTCAATGACTCCATAAGCCCAGGATGAAAAATGTATTCTGTTACCTGTAAAAAATAGCTGGATAAACTAATTAGGATTTAGTAAGCTGCAAATGAGTCACCTCTTAACAAGTACCCACTCCTTGCACTGGCATCAGTACAGATAACTGGGAGTACAGGTTTTGTTGAGGTTTTAATAAGAATGTCATATAATTTTGAGGAGCCATTCAAAATAAAGGCAAGAATGCAACCTTAAGTCCCACTTAACTAGAGCTGACTGAGCTGCAACTCCTTTCTGGTCTGACACATACTGTAATAGCACTAAAATACTCTAACTGTCAGCAGAGCACCACAAGGGTACTCACTCTGAAGAGCTTATAACCTAAAGATACATGAGACAGAGTGAGGATGTGTGAAGACTGATGTGGCATTATCTGTCAGGAAACTTGGTTACAGAAATTGTATTTTCTGCCCATGCCTATGTAAGAAGTTATCAACCATCAGACCCTCAGATATTTATTATCTACCATATGGTCTGATATGAAAAAAACCACACTTCTATAGCTTTTGGCTTGAAATCCTTACAAAATCATAGCAGAATTTTGGTTTGATTTGTTTTTGTGAGATGAAGTGGTGGTTGAGACACGAAGAAGGAAATCTATCACTGACTTTGCCTCCACCATGATTTAAGTGGGACCTCGTGGCCGTGCAGCTGTGACCTGTCTGCATTTTCACAGTGACCACTTGTGTGATGTACAGTTGTCACAGCAGTTTGAGCACCAATGGTTGATCATACCAGGATCTCTTTTTGACTTTACACTTTTTTTTCAGATTTTTGATACTGAATGTTCAATCATTAAGCATTTAGCATTCTTTAGCATCCCTGAGACACCTGAAGACGTCATGCCTAATTGCTGCTGATCTCAGGCCTCATTGGTTTGTTGCATGGAAAGCCCAGAGGACAGTAGTAAAACAGCAACAAAGACTTAAAGATTCACATCCAGTTCTTTCTGCTGATTTACTATTCATTTTGTTTACTGAAAGCACTGCAATTTTATGTAGGTTTCCTATTTTTCCTTTCCATTTTTCTTTAGGGTTTTTTTTTCCCATTATCTCAAATGTTATAGGAAATCACCATCGTTAGCATCTGAGTGATGAAAATCACAGCATCTCTGCACAGATAAGGTTAAAAATGGAGAAACTATGACCAATCCAAGTTTCTGTCTGGGTTTTGTGGATGGGAACTATTCATCAGGCCACCCACGCTGCACAGGGTAGAACATTACACGTAATCATACAGTGCCAGCTCCTTCCTTTATTTTCTAAATACTGTCTTTTTGCTTCTGGCTTTGCTATCACTGGGTGCTAATCTGTCTTTTTATCTCCAAGCAAGGTCAAGTTACATGGCAGCCCATAAAGCCTGGTTCCTGCTGGGATAAAGAGGAAGGCAGAAATGTTAAAACAATAATGGCTATGGTCTGAGGCCTGTAACTGGTAATCAGCTCCTAGCTTGGCAGAGGTTGTTTCCTTGGAGGTTATTTGAAGAAAATAGGCCTGGTTTGCAGGAAGATATCTCTTTTTCCCCACAGGCAAACGCCGTGGTGCTTTTCATCCACGTAACCACCTTTGCAAGACAGATTTTTCTTTCAGTCTTTGCTCAATGGAGAACAACCTCTATTAGCTTCCCATCAGTCCAGCTTTTGTAAATGCTCATCATTAAAGTCCATTTTACAGATCAGGGCTTAGAACCAGACCTGTCAATATTCCTATTACTCTGTGACCTCTCAGTTACTGGATATGAAAATAAATCAAATGCAATAGATTTAAATCCTCAATATCCTATCAAAGCCATATGGAGAAATGCATAAATGCCATGTGCTGACAGATCAAAGGAATTATAGCAATAGCTTCCCAATGAGTATTCAATACTATTTTGTTTTATCTGGCCTAGAAAAATTATTGCTAAGCTTAACAAAAACATCTTATGAGTAAAATGAGACCATCTGGTTTGTATATAAGACCATAAGATAAAATATTTCATGAAATTTTTAAAAACCAGATATAATTTATCAAGCCTCTTTTAGTTTGTATATAATGACTTGTATTTTTTCCAGTCTCTTGTCAGTAATAACTAGAATTGTAAGAAGAGAGCAAGTAATTTATAGAGCAGCTTTTTCAGTTTGGTTAATCCATTACAGTACTTTTAGAAGTTTGCTATAGTTTTGACAATAATCAGATGGTTAGACAAAGATTTTGTGCAAATGTATTTCTCTTTCTCTGTCATATTTTTCCCTTCATCTCTGTGTTATTTATATTCTAGACATTTACATTTTGCAATTAGTCAAGCAAGTGAAATTAACCTTGTATTTTGGACCAAGGTAAGTTTCTGAGATCTGCATCCTCCTGTAGCAGGGTGGTCTACAGTCTAAGTGTGAATTCACTGATGAATTATCTCATTTTGTTTTTCAGCACCTGCCTCCTTCTTGTATTATTTGCTATTCTTGTAATGGAAGCTTCAGTAAGTTCATCTGCAGTCAACTGTTCCCGAGTCACATTTTCCAGGTTGAACAGCTTTACCACATTTACTTGTTCCTTCTACGGAAGCCAGTCCACAACTTTAACTTTGTTGCCCTTCTCCATTAACTGGAAGGTTGTTTATACATTGTTCAAACCGATAACTTTTCCAATTTCTAGAGCTTTAATAGATAGGAATAGAGAATTATTTTATATGGTGCTCACACTTGTGGTTATCTTTGATGACATAAGCACCACACACCTGGTGTCAGCAGGGAGACCTTACTTTCATTTAAGCAGTCCAAATGTGTTGTACTTTCAGTTAATGGGAAAGGTTTTCGGTTGATTTTTTCATACCATCATGTAGTTTGGAGCATGGGGGACTTCTCTTCAAACAAGATATCCTTCTAGGTTTTGTTTTAACCTAGTGGGGAGGGGGTGGCTAGGTGATATTTTCTGCTATTGGGTTTTTTGCTTGTTTTTGAGGGTTTTCCATTTTTTAGTAAAATTATTATTTTTCCTTCTTCATTCAGACTCCTCACAATTTCTACTTCATCAATATTTGAGGGGAGAGAAATAAAAGAAAGAAAAAGAGGATTTATCTCATTAGAGGTCTCACCTCCTGAACATATTATTATTAAACCAAGACAAAATGCCACAACATTACTGCATTATTAACATGTGAGAGAAAGCTTATTACATGTCACAGATGGAGAAGTCCTTGTAATATTAGGACTGATTAGTGATATTTACTTCAGAAGATAATAAACTCTTGCAACATGAGTCGTGTTTCCTGAAAACAAAGACACTGCATTCAGTACTAACTAAATTCACTTCCTAAAAACAAAGGTATGCAAAACCATCCTACTCAGTAATCCTTGTCTATCAGAAGCTGTTCATTTTATGAGAAGTTTAAATAGTGTCTTGTTTTCTATGAAATTTGCAAAAGAACTGAATGATGTTCAATAAACTTCAGGACACAAAAAGAGGGAAGGCAGGTAACCAGGGGCTTCCCAGCAAGCACCTCACAGCTCCATGAGCACCCAGCAATGTCTTTGTAACCAACGGCTCTATTTACTGGGACAGGAGCCCAAAGGGGCACAGTGTTGTAGGCAGCCCTGAGCTGGTTCTGGAGTGGGATACTTCATGAAGAAACCCTCCATGACAGCTAGAAGCAGCTTAATTTCAAGTGTATCTTGATGCTGACTTTTTATTATTACTCTTCATAGTCTCTTAGGCTACTGTAGCCATTTAACTTAGCTCCAAGCCATTGGATAAACATTCATGCTTATGTTTCCAATGGATGAAAAAGTAAGTTGTCAGTGATTTGCAGGAGTCCTACCACTGAAATAACAGGCCAAAACCACAAGCACTTCCACATCCTCTCTTTTGTTTACAGCCTGCTGTGTTTTTGTTTGCTTGTCCTCTGTATGTTTGGTTGTTGGGCTGGGTTTTTACACAGCAGCAAGGAAGACAGGAACATTTTTTTTTAAACAAGCAAATGTAGACCCACCCATGCCATAGTAACTCTGCCTGCAGTTTGACTGCAGGAAACACAACTAATGAAGGAGCTACTCTATTTTTTTATTCACAGAGCTACACCACATCCCTCACCCCATGACACAGACAAAAATGCTGTCGTCTTGGCAAAGAGAACACTTGCATTGTCATCTAAGATTTTGCCATCAACAAAGGTCTACGGAATTTCAGATCTTGAACCAGTCAAGTTACACAGGCAACACTTGGTAGAGCAGGCAGAGCCTGTACTTATGAAAGAATTAAGCTGGCAGGGAAATTCTCTGGGAAGTCTAATGCTGTAATCGCCTTTTGTCTCAGAGGCAGTATTTAAAACAGATAAGTGATTTCACTGGGACAAATCACTTGGATAAGATCTACTCATATGAGGAATGATTATTCTGGGAAGCTGCTCCTGATGTTGGGAAACAATAATTACAGAGCAGGAAACACTGACATCAGTTTTAAGACAAAAACCTAACAAATATATTGAAAAATAACTAAAAATATGTGCCAAGTTTCTGAGGTGTGAATGCTCTTTTCAAGTGGAAAGACCATGTTAAGGAGTACCAAGGTCTTCTATAGGTTTAGGAAGTGAACACTGTCAAAAATTAAAACCATGCTGTCTCATATATTATCTTCAGAAACCTTGACTCAAACAGGTAAAT